AAGACATGAACCACAAGGGCCGAAGACAAAAGTGGCCCCACACAGTGTTCATTCACCCTCCCCGACACTTCCCCTTCTTACTCTCTTAAAACACCCGCTCCCTCCTACTACTTATAACACTTCTCTTCCGACAAGGTAAGTGGTGGACGCACGCTCGCTAGCTCTCTTTCTTGCTCTTTCTCTCTCTCTCTCTCCTCTCTCTCTCTCTCTCTCTCCTCTCTCTCTCTCTCTCTCTCTCTCTCTCTCTCTCTCTCTCTCTCTCTCTCTCCTTTACTATCTTTGCCTCGACCATCTATATAACAGAGGATAGGCCTTAATCAAGATGAAAGTAGATGGTTCTCAGCAGATAGCCTCTGAATGGACTCTAAAGTTTTGTGATACTAGGTTTTTCTTGTACGATCTGTCTCTCTCTCTCTCTCTCTCTCTCTCTCTCTCTCTCTCTCTCTCTCTCACGCAGGATTTCCAACTTTTTCCACAAAGGTAGCAGCAGCATCAGGGCAGGTGGCAGGCCACAGCCTCCTGGGACCTGCTAGATACCTCCCTCTTTAAGTTCTGAAGCACCGTAACTCGATCATTAGAGCCATGGATGCTACATTGGCGAGATGAGGGGGAGGCTGGGTGTGGGTGGGACACCAAATGAACTCCCTAGAGAAATCGCCTGAGTGTACGACTCACGTTATAGTCTTCGTGATTGGTGAAATTCGGGTTTAAAACAGCGGCGTGGCTGCCATTCGTCTGATAGAGGATTAGGCTGATGGAGGGGGAGGTGAGGCCAGTTTTTGAGGATTTTTCTCCAGACGGGACGGCTTCACTTAATGTTTTTCATTTGCTATTAATGTGAAGAGTTAGGTTTACTGCCCATATACGCTTCACGTGAGTCATTAACATTGGAAAAGAAGACAAAGGCAAAACTCCGTGACTGAAACAATACACAAATAACCTGAACTTGGACCTTTCTCAAGTGACTTGTGAATCGTCTAAATCGGACCGAAACGTCGACATAAACTTTTCTCTCTCCTATGCGCGGGTTATTTCTGTATTGTGTAAGACTGGAAATTACCCGAACGCTAACATAGATTATAATTTATTATCTTATACAGGACTTAGAGAAAATTCTCTTCGGTGAATTACACGTATGCACGGGGCGTGCTAAAGGATCGCTGGTTCGATTCCCGGCCAATCGCAGTATCGTGAATTGCTCAAAAAACACTTGTTTGTGGATGCGTTAATGTGTACTGCTTGTGAAGACTGGTATTCCAAACGGGAGAACAATGAAATTATTTCTCTAGCTTCCTTGACCACACATTTACTCGCATCATGAGAGACACGTCCTGTGGAACTAGCTACCTGATGTCTGAAGCATTGATAGCCGAGTGAATTAAGGCGTCTCAAAACTTTGGAGGACTTCTCACGAGGCGTGCTAAAAGAATCGCGGGTTCGATTCCTGGCTAATCAGAGTATTGTTAACTCCTCAAAACCACTCGTTCGTGGATGCATTAATATAGAGTAATGATATATTTATTTATTATGGTAATGTTCCGCTCGCCAGGAGCCGATACAAACAGTACAAAGACACAGAGGATATATGGAGGGCAGAAAGTGAGGAATGGGAGGCGAGGCGTAACCACATACCATAATGATCAAAAATTGCCACCGTGAATATAGGAAACAAAACCTGAGTGCTTTCGTGTACTTACACACATCTTCAGAGGAATATGTATATATATATATATATATATATATATATATATATATATATATATATATATTATATATATATATATATATATATATATATATAATCCTGTGTGTCTTTGCACTGGTTGCGTTGGCTTGATGCAATACTTAGCTACCGGAGTGTTTCCCTTAGTTACTATTGATTAGTTAATTAGTTTTAGAAGCTATCGACTTCACGAGGGTCATTAAGGTTGCAGTGTTGCCTCTTTACCACCAGTTAACAATACTTTAATCCCAAAATTAGGGAATAAACTCTCAGAATAATAATAATAATATTATTATTATCATCATTATTATTATTGCTATTATTATTATTATTATTATTATTATTATAGTTTTAATTATCATTTTTATTATTAATATCATTTTAGTTATTACTTTCTTTACTATTGTTATATAAATTATTAATTTATTGTTATAATTATTTTCATAAGTAAACTGTGTTGTGCAATTAATTTTCTTTCACACTGATGACTATACACACCAAAAACAATTTTTTTTCCAAATTATCAGTTTGAATTATATATTCTTCTCTAATATCGATGAACCAATAAAAAAAGTTAGACTGATGTCTTGTCCCCTCACATCACGTCAAGAATGGTGCAGCTTTCCCCTCTGAAACTACACAATAACAAAAACACTCTCCCCTCTGATCAAGGGTAAATATTTCCCCTCTAGGGTCATAGAATGTCACTCGCTTTGGTGTTATTGCAACATATACCACAAAGCAGAGGCACCAGGGCAAAATAATTTTTTCTATATATGCCACAGTATTACTAAAAGAGGAAAAAGTGTCTTGTGTTTAGCACTTACCATTTATAATTACAATGAAAGCATTGATAACAATATATGGATGAGTGGAGAAGAATTCTTCCTTCGTAAGCTATGCGTGTCGTGAGAGGCGACTAAAATGCCGGGAGCAAGGGGTTAGTAACCCCTTCTCCTGTATACATTACTAAATTTAAAAAGAGAAACTTTCGTTTTACTTTTCTGGTCATCTTGCCTCGGTGGCATACTCTGGTGCGTTGAATAATAATAATAATAATAATAATAATAATAATAATAATAATAATTTGAGAACGATATACTTGTATCTCATAAACTCAGTTCCCTCTACCTAAATAAACCGAAGAAGGTAACCCCGTATTCTGTGTTGGTTGCCTCATGGTCCATACGATTCGCGGGTAAAAATCTTTATTGACTCTGCATTCTTTTTAAACTCGTGTGTGTGTGTGTGTGTGTGTGTGTGTGTGTGTGTGTGTGTGTGTGTGTGTGTGTGTGTGTGTGTGTGTGTGTGTGTGTGTGTGTGTGTGCGTGTGTGTGCGTGTGTGTGTGTGTGTGTGTGTGTGTTTTAACGTCTAGAAGATTTATATGTAGTACACATTACTTCATGCATAATAAATCACGGCACATGCACACCAAGTCTATTTGCTTCTCAAATCACCTCACATGCAACCTTCTCATGCAACACAAATCGCCATCCATGCACTTTAAATCAACATACACACTCTACAGTTCCTCTTACATACACCACAGATCACAATATGCAATAAAAATCATCTCACATGCACTACAACCCTTCCCTAACAAGTACAACAAATTAAGATATACACTACAAATCACCAAACATTTACAAATCATCTTGTATAAACACCCATAACGTGCAAGTTCCAAAAGCGTTCTTGTCGTTTATTCAGTGAATTATGAATTAAGCAACCAATGGTCAGCCTACAATATGTCGCAGAGTGAACATTGTCATCAGAATTTTTTACAAGATAGACAGGGCTTTATCACGACTCGTAAATGACCTCTGTATGGTGAAACGTTGTGTAATGAAAACGTTTGTTCTGCCGTAGGTTTTGTTTACGTTTCTGTCCTATAGATAACCAGTATGGAGATAGAGACGTAAACAGTGACAACAAGATTGGACTTCAGAGTCCACACAAGAAGAGTTATCCACTTCTTTCTAAATTAAGGATTATCGTGTATTAATCAAGGTGTTTGTGGCAAGGATAGTAAAGCAAAATAATCTGCATTTCGCTCAAGCATGAGCCTTTATCAAATGAGCGAAATGTTGAAATTTCCTGTCTGAGAGTCGAGATATATGAGGTACCTTGACAGTTCCTGTGTTACATGACTGGTATACAATAACGACAAGATTCTTTAAGATTACGGTGCTTTACACCATCTCCAAGGCTGAGGGACTGATTACCTCACTTTCTGAATATAATTCTACATTCTTCACAATACCTCCTTGTATTAATAAAGTCACTGGTTGGAGAAACACCTACAAATAAAAATACTCAGATGGTGAACATGTGTCTAATTCAGCTCGTGTTTTCTACCATCAGATGAGGAACCATGGCATGCTCCTGCTGGTGTGTGCATTGTTGCAGAGGCGCGTCGTCCAAGCCCACGATACACGTCCTTATCCCACACACCCTCACCGGGTGTATTCACGAAGGGTGAGTACATGAACTGCAACATGTGCAACAGCTGGTTGTAACTGGCAGGGTGATACCACCAAGCCGTGGAGAACACTTACGTACAGTTCAATATATTTAGAGAAAACGTTTCGCCATGCATGACTTCTTCAGTCGTGGGGAAACGTTTCCCTCAATGAATGTCCTAAATTGTATATAAATGTCCTTGTTCACACATGGAAAAGAATAAAAAATTATTATTAATGATTGTAATAAAATAATAATAATAATAATAATAGTAATAAGAGGCATCACAAATCGAAGGGAGAAGAAAATTGATAGTTAAATAAAAAAGAGTAGAAAAGATTTGAACATTAACAAAATAAAAATTATTCCAGTATTAAACACATAATTCAGATAAAAATAACAGAAATTGTACAAATTCCAAATGATATTGTACAGAGGACTTACCAGTCCTCTTCCTCACCCCCTTACCCAAAATTCAGTTACCTCTAAGACATAGCAATATCACTCTCACCCAGGGAGTAGGTGTGTGTGTGTGTGTGTGTGTGTGTGTGTGTGTGTCCTACTCTAGTAATGCAACCCAAGTGAACTGTGCCAAGAGCCTTTCTGAAATTCCATTCCCTTGGAATATGAAATCATGTGGCCCTTACCTTGATGCGGTCTAGGCTCGGGAATTGCTACCAACCCTGGAAATTGGGAAACGCTAGCAGTCGCGTAGTGTGTATATGTGTGAGTCTTGTCAGTGTGTGTGTGTGTGTGTATTGATAATGGGTGTGTTAGCGTGTGTATGCGTGTGTGCATGATGTGTGTGTGTGTGTGTGTGTGTGTGTGTGTGTGTGTGTGTGTGTGTGCTAATGTGTGTTTTCTCGTTCTTGTGCGAATGTGATTTTTATATGTGTGCTTATTGGTATGTGTTTTTAGCATTTCGTGTGTGGTTGCTTTACGTGTGTATTGTGCCTATGTCACTGTGTACATCCCTATGTCTGGGATCGCATTTATGCGCATGCACACACACACGCACACACACACAACAATAGCATATCAGTCATCAACCTCCTATTAACATCCATCATCTCATCCACTATTAACATCCATCATCTCATCCACTATTAACATCCATCATCTCATCCACTATTAACATCCATCATCTCATCCACTATTAACATCCATCATCTCATCCACTATTAACATCCATCATCTCATCCATTATTTCCATCATACTTTATATCCTTCCCTCACATTCCTGACCATCTTCCCTCTATACCTTCTTCGCTCCCTCATCGTACTCTCTCTCCTCTCGTATTCCTCATTCTCTGCCTCTCTTGTTCCTCATCTTCCCTTCTCCTATTTCTCATTCCCCCTTCCAATATTCATCACTTTCCCCTTCTCTATTCCTCATTATTCCCCTCTACGTATACTGTCACTCTCGCCTCTTTCCATTTTCTATAATAAAAAATGCTTAGATAAATAAATAAAAACTATCGCAGTAATATATAAATTTTTTTCACACCAGAAAAAAAATATCATCATGTGAGATATCTGTATTGATATCTTTAATTTATTTTTTTCTTTTCCTGAGAGAGAGAGAAAGAGAAAGAGAGAGAGAGAGATAGGGAAAGTCCTTATGGTCTATGTCAAGGGTAATCTACAAGGTAGAACTGAACAAGAGTGTAGCCATCACTACTCGTGTATACACACGAGTAGTAAAGCAAAAGACTCTCTCCCTACTCTTCACTCCCTCAGACCACACCGACCTATCAAATTATTGGTTTACGAGCATTACGCAGTTGCAATAAATAAATATATAAAGCGTAATGAACATTTGTTAATACTCAGTAATAACCCACACGGAGAGAGACACTCAGAAAATTAACCCATCTGTATATTTCGACCCCTTCTGGGATCCTCTTCTGATGTAGAGGATCCCAGAAGGGGTTGAAATAAACAGATCAATTAATCTCCGTAGTTTCCGTCTCCCTGTGGGTTACTATTGAGCATAAAAAGACAGGAATAAGTAGAGACGTTGTACTACTCATCTAGGTCAGAATTAATTAAAATATAGCTGCTGCTACTTATAAAAAATATGCATCACTTGAAAGCTTTTCAGATTGAAGCTTCAGTCCGACATGGACTATTTACAAACTCACTCTGTAAATGGTCTAACTCAGACGGAAACGTCGTCGTGAGCTCCTCTCTATGTGCGAGTTATTTGTGTATTGTTCCAGTCACGATATTGTGCCTCATTCTTCTTTTCAGATTGACTACACTCTGGGATACAGCGAGTACCACTTCTCGTGGCGTCACGACGGAGGGCACAATTACCCCTGGAATCAAGCCAACGCTTACTGCTCGCAGCTGGGCCCGGGGTGGGAAGGTGTCAGCATTGAGTCTGTAGAAGAGGACAAGTTTATCTCCAGTGTTGTCGGTGGAGGTGAGTTTTTAATTTCCGGAAATGTAATCGTATGTTACTGAAGTTCTTTTATAACAGTGAAAAATAATCTATACACATAGGAGAGAGAAGCTTATGACGACGTTTCGGTCCGATTTGGACTATTTACAAGTCAGTAGAAGAAATAGAGGAAAGATATCTCAAAATCAATAGCACCATGATGTTTATTGCATCTCAATTAAAGGTAATAAGAAAGTTAGTGTATTCCCACCATAGAGGATTCATTGATTAGTTATTGAACAGCTGTCAGGACTGAAGAACCCACTTGTGGCGAAACGTTTTCTCTAATGTCTTGAAGTGTACTTAACTGTCTTTTTACAAAACTTAGACGTACCTAGCATGGGCCAGTAGATCTCCTGCAGTACTCTTTCTTTGTTATGTTTTTAATAAAATTAGGGTCACTGGAATCAGTCATCAAAGCAAAGCTTGCATTCAGGAAAACACATCAACGCTAAAAGTTGAAAAACGATCAGAAGATACATTCTATAGTTACTGAATCTATTGGATCGACTTCAAGGTAATTTTTCTAACCATTGTAGTACGTGAACGATTTGCAGCTACATAATGAAATACTGAAGTCACTAAAAATAGGCAGGTTCATTTATATTTAACCTGATTTAACGGGAAAAATTTACACTCTTTTACAGCTAAAAATTGGCCAGATACATAAACACTTCAGTAACGATTGTTTTGCCTTTCTGTGAACAGCGCGTCTGAGATACATCTGGACTGGAGGTTTTTTCAAAGACTCTCACTGGAAGTGGACCTCAGGGGAACGATTCCTCGGCCTTAATTGGTCTCACACTGGCGGGTAAGATTCCACTTACCTACTGTGGAAAAGGGTAATACTTACTTGTTGAAGTGTAAAGTGATACTTACCTCCTGATGGACAGAGTGGTGGTGGGAAAAACAGCGTTACTGACCAGGCGGCGAAAGAGTGCTAATTGCCTGTTAAAGGAGAGGTACTTTTCTGTAACAAGAGAGGGAGTGTTGCTAGCTTGTCAGAGAGAAAAATGTGCAACCTGCCTGTAAGAATAAAGGGTTCTACCTGCCTGTAAGAGGAAAGGATGCTACGTGCCTGTAGCAGGAATGAGTGATACCTTCTTGTTAGAGATAAGGATGCTACTCACCTGCTAGAGAAAGGATGCTACTTGCTTAACAGAGGAAAGCGGTATTATTTGCCTTCTGCACCAAAGGGTGCTACTTGGCTAATAGATGCTTATTTTCCAAGCAAAGCTAGTTCCTACAGGGCGGCAATGAAATTTCAGTTACTCTAGTGGAAAATGAAATTCAAATTGCTCTAGAGGACAGTGAAATGCTACTTACTCTTAGGTGATAATGAAATTCTAGTTAGCTCACGAAATCATAATAATCCAATTGCAGACGACTCGGGGAACAGGTAGGGCATAAGCTCATGGAAAGTAAGTGCTAAAATTCACAGGTTAACACACATGCCTGTGAGTGTTAGGGATCACTTGCCAGGAGTTCAGATCCAATCCGTTCCGTAATTAAATTCTAGTCTATCTGAATGTGACCGTGACATTCTAGTTACCCTAGAAGAAGGCGACTTAACACAAGACACGTAGAGATAAAGAGAGAGCTACATTCTCCCTTCTGGAAGTGTACGGAAGTCTTCAAATCCCTTTCAAGACAGTGACTTGTGATAGTGAGGGCTCTTGATCGAAGGAATTAGATCTATCCTCCCATACCTTGAATCACACCTGATTACCTTGTATTCCCCAGTAATGACAAAAACAATAATGATAATAAAAATATTAGTAATAATAAATAGCAATAACATTATTATTATTATTATTAAAGATTAGCCGGTATTCTCCCGGCCCGGGCCTTTTCCAAGTGGTGGCCCGGCCTTGGCTCCCTCTTTAGGGAGTGTCTGAGACCTAAGTCTCCCATGGGAGGAGGCACCAGTACCTCCTCATCTTTAGGACCAACTGTCCCCAGGCATAGCCACAAGCTAGGCCTCTCTGGTCTGCCATCCCCGCCCCAAGGGGGCTAATGGGAATGACAGTCTTATGAGCTAAAGGCTCGGGCTCAGGCACCTACCCTACCCTAGAAGGGTTAGGCATGGTGTCGATGTAGCAATAACAAAAATAACAATGAGAGTGATAATAATAATAATGATAATAATAAATACAGTAAATTACTATAGAGAAAAAATTTCATACTCACTATTTAGCCTTTCCATAAATAATTTATGTGACGGGTATATTTCACAATGAAATAATAATTTCAGTGATTTTTTTATTCGGGGTCCCTATGCAGTGATGCCGCCGCTCTGAGCCCACAATGGTTAATATACGATATCTGATAAATGATAAATATTATTTTGCAAACATTTTTACATCTAGTTATTTTGGTGAATTTCAGTTGGCTGTAAATCTGTCCGAAAAGCCCATAGGATGTATTGCATTGTAGTAACACAGCCAATTACTGTACTGCGATAAACTAAATGCACACAATAACACTGTAGGAGCTTATATATATATATATATATATATATATATATATATATATATATATATATATATATATATATATATATATATATATATATATATGTGTGTGTGTGTCGTGCCGAATATGTAAAACTGGTCAATTAGCAAGAACTCATTTAAAATTAAGTCCTTTCTAAAATTTTCTCTTATACGTTTAAAGATATATTTTTTTCATTAATGTTAATGTAAAAAAATGTAATTTTGCACCAAAAGAATCTTAGAAAACTTACCTAACTTTACTATAACAAGAACAATTTATTTTAGCCTAACCCAACTAAATATATTTTAGATTTGTTTACAATAATTTAATACTAAACAAACACAGTGAAATATATTTTTTTCGTTAGGTTCAGAATGATTTTGGCAAGATGAGCGTTGCTATTTAAGCCAAGATTGCAAGTTCTGCCTATTCGGCACGACATATATATATATATACATGTATGTATATATATATATATATATATATATATATATATATATATATATATATATATATATATATATATATATATATACATATATATATATATTATATATATATATATATATATATATATATATATATATGTATATTTATATTTGTGTGTGTGTGTGTGTGTGTGTGTGTGCGTGTGTGTGTGTGTGTGTGTGTGTGTGTCGTGCCGAATAGGTAAAACTGGTCAACAAGAACTCATTTAAAATTAATTTTTTTCCAAAATTTTCTCTTATACGTTTAAGGACATAATTTTTTTTATTTATGTTAATGTAAGAATTAATAATTTTGTACCAAACGAACCTTAGAAAACTTACATAACCTAATTAGAACAAGCGTAATTTAATTTAGCCTCATCCAACTAAATATAGTGTAGATAAGTTTACAATAATTTAATAATAAACAAACACAATGAAATATATTTTTTTTCGTTAGGTTCAGAATAATTTTTGCGAAATTATTGCATACACAATTTTTTCGCTTTCCTTATTCGGCAAGAAGAGCGTTGCTATTCAAGCCAAAATTGTAAGTTTTACCTATTCAGCACGACATATATACGTATATTATAAAGTGCGCGCGCGCGTGTGTGTGGTGTGTGTGTGTGTGTGTGTGTGTGTGTGTGTGTGTGTGTGTGTCTGTCTGTCTGTCTGTATGAATGTGTGTATGTTTGGATAAGGTAGATAGATAAAATATAAATAGATACATAGGAATTTAAGCGAATTAGATCTCCCTATCAAAGTCGTCTTTTTTTTTTTTTGGGGGGGGGGTGCTTCCTCAATAATCTCTCCCATTCTCACATCATTTATTGCCTTTCCTTGTTCATCTCTCACTCCCCCGTCACACCGCTCGTTATCGCCAGCCTGGGGAAGAACCAGCCGGACAACCGTGAGGATGGGAAGGAGTTCTGTCTGGCAGTACTGAACAACTTCTACCACGACGGCATCACTTGGCACGACGTGGCTTGCCACCATGAGAAACCCATCATCTGTGAGCGTCGGCGAGATGCTCACTTCGGCTGAGACAGCCCCATTTAACGTTTCGATTTACGCCGTTTTTTTTTTTTCTACCTTTGTCGGCCTCTTGATTGTCTAGCGAAACAAAAAAATCTGCTACTTTTGTCACTTTTTTTCTAGTAATTTAAAACTTTTTAGTTAAAAAGATTTTTTCAATAAAATTAAGATTTAAAGTGGTTCTAAATCATTAGAGAAGAGTTAATTGGATTCGAAGCCTATTTACTGTACTTAAATAGGCAAGAATATTTTAATACCCATAATAGGGACTGAAGTAAACTCTGAACCTATATACACTAAGACATACACATCACGTGTTTATATGTCCTGTTAAAAGTACTGTATTCTGTAATTCTCTATTTTTTTGTGATTAAAGATGTGATTTTAAACTTTTATGTAACTTTTATAAAAGAAAAACAGTAACTTAACCTAAACTACCTAAACTTAACCTAAACTACCTAAACTTAACCTAAACTACCTAAACTTAACCTAAACTACCTAAACTTAACCTAAACTACCCAAACTTAACCTAAACTACCCAAACTTAACCTAAACTACCCAAACTTAACCTAAATACCTAAACTTAACCTAAACTTCCCAAACTTAACTTAAACTACCTAAACTTTTAAACCTAAACTACCTAAATTTAACCTAAACTACCCAAACTTTAACCTAAAACTACCTAAACTTAACCTAAACTACCTAAACTTAACCTAAACTACCTAAACTTAACCTAAACTACCTAAACTTAACTAAACTACCCAAACTTAAACCTAAATACCTAAACTTAACTAAACTTCCCAAACTTAACTTAAACTACCTAAACTTAACCTAAACTACCTAAACTTAACCTAAACTACCCAAACTTAACCTAAACTACCTAAACTTAACCTAAACTACCTAAACTTAACCTAAACTACCCAAACTTAACCTAAACTACCTAAACTTAACCTAAACTACCCAAACTTAACCTAAACTACCCAAACTTAACCTAAATAACCTAAACTTAACCTAACCCCAAACTTAACTTAAACTACCTAAACTTAACCTAAACTACCTAAATTTAACCTAAATACTCAAACTAACCTAAACTACCTAAACTTAACCTAAACTACCTAAACTTAATCTAACTACCCAAACTTAACCTAACTACTAAACTTAACCTAAACTACTAAATAACCTAAACTACCCAAACTTAACCTAAATACCTAAACTTAACCTAACTACCTAAACTTAACCTAAACTACCCAAACTTAACCTAAATACCTAAACTTAACCTAAACTTCCCAAACTTAACTTAAACTACCTAAACTTAACCTAAACTACCTAAACTTACCTAAACTACCCAAACTTAACCTAAACTACCTAAACTTAACCTAAACTACCTAAACTTAACCTAAACTACCCAAACTTAACCTAAACTACCTAAACTTAACCTAAACTACCTAAACTTAACCTAAACTACCCAAACTTAACCTAAACTACCTAAACTTAACCTAACTACCTAAACTAACCTAAACTACCTAAACTTAACTAAATTTACCTAAACTTAACCTAAACTACCTATACTTAACCTAAACTACCCAACTTAACTTAAATACCTAAACTTAACCTAAACTACCCCAAACTTAACCTAAACTACCTAAACTTAACCTAAACTACCCAAACTTAACCTAAACTACCTTAACTTAACCTAAACTACCTAAACTTAACCTAAACTACCTAAACTTAACCTAAACTACCTAAACTTAACTAAACTACCAAACTTAACCTAAACACACCTTAACTTAACCTAAACTACCTAAACTTAACCTAAACTACCTAAACTTAACCTAACTACCAAACTTAACCTAAACTACCTAAACTTAACCTAAACTACCTAAACTTAACCTAAACTACCCAAACTTAACCTAAACTACCTAAACTTAACCTAAACTACCTAAACTTAACCTAAACTAACTAAACTTAACCTAAACTTCCCGTGAGCATAATGTAATATTTAACATATTTTTTTACTATTCCTTAACACTTTCATTTTTTTATTTTCTCACTCCTAGCTATCATTCTCTTCACTATCTCATTTCTCCATTATTCATCTCTCTATCTCTCTGTCTCACCCATCCTCTTATACTTGCCCACCTCCATCTATCCTATATTCTCCTTCTTCTCCATCCACCCTCTCTGCCCTCCTTCAACCATCCTCCCTCACTACCCTCCTTCACCCATCCTCCCTCACTACCCTCCATCACCCATCCTCCCTCACTACCCTCCATCAACCCATCCTCCCTCACTACCCTCCATCACCCATCCTCCTCACTACCCTCCATCACCCATCCTCCCTCACTACCCTCCAACACCCATCCTCCCTCACTACCCCCATCACCCATCCTCCCTCACTACCCTCCTTCACCCATCCTCCCTCACTACCCTCCATCACCCATCCTCCCTCACTACCCTCCATCACCCATCCTCCCTCACTACCCTCCATCACCCATCCTCCCTCACTACCCTCCATCACCCATCCTCCTCACTACCCTCCATCACCCATCCTCCCTCACTACCCTCCTTCACCCATCCTCCCTCACTACCCTCCATCACCCATCCTCCCTCACTACCCTCCATCACCCATCCTCCCTCACTACCCTCCATCACCCATCCCCCCTCACTACCCTCCATCACCCATCCTCCCTCACTACCCTCCTTCACCCATCCTCCCTCACTACCCTCCATCACCCATCCTCCCTCACTACCCTCCATCACCCATCCTCCTTCACTACCCTCCATCACCCATCCTCCCTCACTACCCTCCATCACCCATCCTCCCTCACTACCCTCCATCACCCCATCCTCCCTCACTACCCTCCATCACCCATCCTCCCTCACTACCCTCCATCACCCATCCTCCCTCACTACCCTCCATCACCCATCCTCCCTCACTACCCTCCATCACCATCCTCCCTCACTACCCTCCTTCCCCCCATCCTCCCTCACTACCCTCCATCACCCATCCTCCCTCACTACCCTCCATCACCCATCCTCCCTCACTACCCTCCATCACCCATCCTCCCTCACTACCCTCCATCACCCATCCTCCCTCACACCCTCCATCACCCATCCTCCCTCACTACCCTCCATCACCCATCCTCCCTCACTACCCTCCATCACCCATCCTCCCTCACTACCCTCCATCACCCATCCTCCCTCACTACTCTCCTTCACTAATAGTTATTTTAGTCGTGACAACAGGATAGAGGGAAAAAGGAATAATTAATGATGCTATTATACAATTATTTTTAAAAAGTTGAACAGAGGGTCAGAGTATAAGTAATTACAAAGGTAATTGTGAAGTAACAAGTCTGTGGGGAGGAAAGTAATTATCTTAACAGTAAATAAAGTAATTAAGAACTTATCTGTAATTCCTTGAAAGTCAAGGCTCTTAATAAGGGGTGACTGATGTTGGTGGAAGGTTGTTATTCCAAGGAATTACTATAATTAATAATAATAATAATAATAATTATTATTATTATTTCTACAAGTACATGTACAAGGTATTCAGACCACAGCTGACATCAGTAACATACTACTATATAGAAAAAAAAACCCTTGTTATGCAGAGCATTTCGGACAAATTAGGTCAATTTTTTCCCAGGATGCGACCCACACCAGTCGATTAACACCCAGGTACCTATTTTACTGCAAGGTGAAGAGGGATAGCAGGTGTCTTAATGAAACACGTCCTAATGTTTCCACCCGTACCGGGGATCGAACAGCAGACATCATATCAAATAAACAATAAGAAACCAAAACATTACTCTTATAGTTACAGGCTAAATTATTATTATTATAATTATGGGGGAGCGCTAAATCCGGAGGATTATATAGTCTGAAGCCTGTAACTGTTGGGAAACCATTCTCCACCGTTCTAGTCTTGCATAGTTTAGCGTCGGCTGCAAAGTTAGTTCTGTTGTAAAGCTAAAAACTTGTGATTGATAGTTCACATAAATATACCAGTGTGACTTTGTATATGATCCAAGTCGGACCGAAACGTCGTCGTAAGCTTCTCTCTTCTATGTGCGGGTTATTTGTGTATTGTTATTTATACCAATTAACTCATAAAGCAGCGTTTCCGAAGAATATCTTTTAAAAGTATTCGTTTTCTTTTTACCTCCCCCCTCCCCCCGGTCAAAAAAAAAGAAAAAAATTTATATATATATATATTATATATATATATATATATATAATATATATATATATATATATATATATATAATATATATATATATATATATATATAATATATATATATATATAATATATATATATATATGCAATAAGATCACAGTAAACAGGTGATTTCAAAATATGCAAAACAACCACTCTGAAAGAATAGAGAAATTCCAAGCGCTTTCGTGACTACTCACATTTCTACTCACAGTTCCTTGATAATGTGAGTAGTCACGAAAGCGCTTGGAATTTCTCTATTCTTTCAGAGTGGTTGTTTTGCATATATATATATATATATATATATATATATATATATATATATATATATATATTATATATATATATATATATATATATATATATATATATATATATCCTTAACTTCAAAGTTATTCAGTAAGGCGGAATGACCCTCACGGGTTTAGTGCTTTCTATGAATAGGGGGTAAAAGCATATACACCGAGAGGCGTATAATTATCGTGTAGTAGATGGACTTTCAACCTAAAAATCGAACAACCACGAATGTTATAATAATAATAATAATAATAATAATAATAATAATAATAATAATTAATAATAATAATGAACATACAATCACCAGCCTCTACTGAACAGCCACGATGAAAAAAAATGCAAAGTGGGAAGTAGATAGATTTAGATTATTTTAGACATTGCCATAAAAGTAGCAGCTACTTTACCGAGCACGGCGTTTCCATGGATGGGATTGTAGCTGAGTAGCATGTGGCTACGTCAGTAGCCTAAGCAACAACGTCCCATAAGGACTACAGCTCGTTAAAAATGTACAATCAATTTTTTTTCGGATACATGCTCAAAATTCTGGAAGTGAATCAAAAATATGTGAAAACACTGTGAGGGGTGACCACGTTGAAGTGATAAGGAAAATATTCGTCAGTGTGGCGCCTCGACACGACCGCTAAAAGCCTTCACTGAGCCACTATTTGTTTACGCTAATTATCTCGTCATCCTCTGGGACTATTCTGTCACTAGAGAAGGACATTCTGAAGTTGGTAATTTAAACTGGTGCGTTTCCTTTGTTATTCGCAATGTGGTGGTTCAGTAGTGTGGTATCTGTCTGA